ATCAGCACCTACAAGTAACAGCTTGTTTTCTCCTTTAATATTTCTATGCTATTCCTTTTTCTACATTTATCAAGTTGACTTGAATAGCTGTGAACCTTGATTAATAACAACGATGGGCATGTGCTGCTTCTGATTTTACTGGAATAAATGGAGATGAAATTTATCACAGCAATGGAGCCCATGCACCATGGAATATCTGGGTTTAATCTCAGCTGCTAGCACTTACCAGGTACGAACACAGGCAGTCTCCCTTTGCTCATTTATACAACAGTGGATGATTAAGGAAAGCCGACTCTTGCCTCCTCTACACCACTGGTCTTATCAGAATGCTTTCTTCCAGGCGGCAGCACCCCAGGCTTGGCAGCATCTCTACAACCTGGCTGGTGCTGAATGGACACAGCAGCTCAGAGAACGGCTCTGTGACACAGGGAGACATTTGCAGCAACTGTTGATTTACATGGAGATCTTCTCTGAAAACAAAAAAGGCAAGAGAGCAGCATTATGTAATCACATCTATAATTAAGGCTACAGGTAAAAAGTATGTTACTTTGAAACCAAGACCACTTTTTGGCCAGGTAACAGTGCGAATTACATCACAGACCTTCTAAATCATGGTATTTCACACTTTAAATGGAAAAACAATATTCAGTAACAATATTCAGTGGTGGTGCTTCTAAGTTATACTCTCACTACACAGTTAATTTTCTATAAAATGAATCTAATGGTATAGTTCCCTTGCCTAAAAACCTTTAGTCATTCTCCACTACACAGAAGACTCAATATATTATTTCTTAGCTTTACATATTAAGTTGTTCACTGTAAGCCCCGAAATCCTATCTTCCAGTCTCTATACTTCTAACTCTTCCCCTGACACACAATTTATAGCTTAACCTTCTGCTATCATCCCCACCACGTCATCCTCTGAATATGCGTGCTGCTTTGTCCCTTTAACTCTCTACACACCCAGGACCCTTTATCTACAACTCCCTCTTAATTCTCTGCCTAGAAAACTGACAGCAATTATTTAAGCCCAGTTCACGCATACCTGGGAACTCCTGTCTGACTCTCTCACACAGTCTATCCCTCTCTCCTCTTGTTCCTGCAACACTTTTGCCCGTATGTCTCATGTAGAGCTTTTAACACTATACTATGTTTATACAAGTGCTTCTCTGCTTCATATGAAAAAATTAAAGAAAACATTGTACACTTACCTGTGCCCCCAGAGCCTACCATACTGTGGTGCATGGGGGGCCACAGTCGTGCGAAATGAAGTATGTGAATGAATGAACTCTGTATCTCTGTCTCTTATGCCAGCTGCCTCCCACTCACGCTCTGGTTTCCATCCTGTGTATGTGTCTCCTACAACTATTATTGCTACATGGGGACCCTGGGTTGTGCTACGTGTCCCTGTCACTGTCCTGTTCCCTATCTCTGTCACTCGTGGCCATAATGGTAGTGAGCAAAGCACCCGCCCAGCAGTGTCGTGGTGGTGACGAGGGGAACACTAGCTCCATGACACAGTACTTCCAACTGGGCATCTCACTACTCAACATTAATACAGCTGTATTCTAGGGAAGATTTCCCAAGAAAAATTCTACTCATCATTAACCTTTCTGAGGATGACAGAAGTCTGAACAGATAACATGAAACCCAGAGAATACTGTTGCAGCTACTACAGCAAAAGAGGGGGGTGGCCCTCTGTGGTGACGATGTCCAGGGTGAGTGCAGGTTACAGCTCCAGAAATGTGTCTGTGATGCTAGTGTTTCTTATGCACAAAGACGAACACCCTCATGTCCAGACTCAGAGATCCACAACTCCTCCCAAATACACACAAACACACAATGTGTAGAAACTGCTATTAAAAGGAACTATCAACTGAAGAAATAATCACAATCAAAAGTTCTTAAGTGCAGGTTCAATAACTGTCTCTCCATTAGATGTTTCTTCCCAATATATTCTGCAAAATTTACCTGAAGTTTTTTTCCTGACTGTTTCAATCTGTTCAGAAAAGTGAGTGGAAACCAGCTCTGCAGCTTTACCAGGCTTCAGGGACACAAGTTCCTGGAATGAAAGACAAAGCTAAAATAATCTTTAATGCTAAATTTAAATACAATTTCCACAGATGTGAAGCATGAGCACCTACTTTAAAATTTCCATGAGCTTCTACACTGCATTTCAGGAAACCTCAATACAGGGCCTCAATTTTAATTAACGGCATACTGCAAATAAGCAAAATTTTAAAAGTACCATTCAAAACATCAGATTTTGATATAAACCTATTTCAGAATTCTTAGAAAATGAAAGCACTAAACATTCAGGATCTAGGCGATGACACCTACAGGATGAAAAGGAAAACACACCTCCCCGAACTCCCCTCAGTGAATTTCACCCTTGACATCAAAGTAGTAACTTCAAAGAAATGAAAACAAGAATAGAGTTATGATTTTTCTGACTAAGAATTCTGAAATTTTACTTCTGATGCCTGGTGGACTTTGAAATCAGAAATGTCTTAAGAAACTAACAGGGTCGTAACTCGAAGAGGTTGACCACTCTTCGTAAGGCCTATTTCTGTCAAATCGAAGACTTTCAATGTGCCCTCTCCTTGAACTTCCCTACATACCACTGGGTCTCCTTTTCTTCTTGAGACTCTCTGCATACTTGGTTTCTGTGACCCTATTCCACCTTTCCAATTGCATGTTCTATTGTTGAAATGCAAAGACTGTCTACAGGACAACATATTATATTGTCAAATAAAAATAAGTTATTGTGGCTGAAAAATTTACGATATAAATAGTAATTTGTCATAGTATTTGCAGATCAATAATAATTGGCCGACAGAAATAACTGTAGTTTACACCACTTTTATGCAATACACCTCAAAACAGAGCAGGCAATATCACAAATGAAAAGGAAATGTTACTACTGATCTTCAGACATTGAAAAGAAACTATTATGAATTAATTTGTGCTGAGAATTTGAAGATTTAAACAAAATGGGTAAATTCCTAGAAAAATATAATTTACTCAACTGATATAAGACATGGAAAAACTGCATTGATTTTTAACCACTAAAGAAAATGAATAGTCAAAAATCTTCCCATATGGAACACTCTAGGCCCAAACAGCTTCACTGGTAAGTCCTAGCAATCGTAAGGAAGGAGTATTTCCAACGTTAAATCTCTTATTAAAAATTGAAAAGAAAAAACTTCTTCAGCTCACTGTATAAGGCTAACAAAATTTTGATACTAAATCCAACAGAAGATAAGAAAGAAAAGGAAAATTACAGATCGATCTTAACCATGAACACTGATACAAACATCCTAAATAAAAACAAAATACAAAATGCATAAAAAAGATAATACATTAGGATCAAGTTACAGTTATCCACAGAGTTCAAGGCTGGTTTAATATCAATAAAATTTACAATGACAATATAATAAGGGAGAAAAGGTAGTAAAATTTACTGTTGAGAAAAACCGTTAGCATACAAAAAATAGACTTCCATAAAAAATTGTATAGTAAATACTGCACATATTAGAAATAAAAGCTTTTTAATATTAACAATAGCACTATTGTGCTAAATAATATAAAGTTGTGACAGTAAATCTAACAATCTAGAGATGAAAATCTCTACAGAGGAATTTATAAAACTTTACTGAAAGAAAACTGAATAAAGGGTTATGCCAAGTAGTCATTAAATAGAAGACTCACAATGTAAACATGTCAATTTAAATTGAAATTGAATGACAGATTCAATGCAATCCCTATCAGAATTGTAAGGTTAAAACAGTTTTTGGGGGGAACTTGACAAGTTGATTCCAAAATGTGTTTGGAAGTATCAAAGGTCAAGAATAGCCAATATTCTCCTAAAGCTATCAAGACTTATAACAAAGCAATATTTAGGACAGTGTGGTACTGATGTAGAGATGAAGCTCAATCAAACAGAAGAGGGCCCAGAAAAACAGACCAAGCATGTAGACTCTTGCTACATTCATGGTAAGGCCGCACTGCTGA